TTCCTAGATTATGGTGTGTGTGTGTGTGTGTGTGTGTGTGTGTGTGTGTGTGTGAGATCTGAGTTTTAATTCTGAAGATTATCTCTCACAGTAGGAAGCTCAGATCATTCTGGAATCAAAGAGAGCTGAGCAAAGCTCTGTGGCCGCTGGGTAGAGAGTGCACCACTTCTGTCTGTCTGTTTGTTTTGTTTTCTTCTCTTCATTCCCAGGGGCAGGAGTTCCCAGTCTTGTGTGGAGGCAGAAGCATCTCCCTCGCTCCATGGGAGTGTGGCTTAGCAGGGGTCGTCCTTCTATCAAGTCCCCTCTCCGAAGCCTGCTTCTGACCCCAGGCCTTGCACTGCCTGTCCTCAATCATCTTACAGCTTTAGGGAAATAAAATGTGGTGGGTGTCTTTGTTTGTCTCTATTTAAACTCATCTGAACCTTAAGGGCATATTTTCAAAGCCAGTCAAGTAGCAGACAAGACACTGGGATTAAAAAAAACCCAACACACATAAAAATTCCTATGTAATAAAAGGCTAATATGCAAATTGTCCCTTTGACCGGAAGTTCAACTGGGAGTTCAACCAGGAATTCGAACAGGGGATGGTGCTGGCTGGCCAATGGCCCTTCCCTGCATCCGACCCAGCCTGATCGTTCCTTATCGGGCTGGGCTGGCTGGACCCCACCTGTGCACGATTTCGTGCACCGGGCCTCTAGTAAATAAATGAAACCCACACCAACAAACTAAGCAAAAACTCTCAGTGATAATTAGCAAGGCTGTTTTAGAGTTGCAAATTTTCCAAAACTAAAAATATTTCTCTGAAGCATCCCATTTCCCTGCCTTTCCTTCTCCTACCCTAAGAAGTCTGGCTGACTCATCAACTCATTTCATTGGCTTTCGCTGGTGGTGCCAGGGCGGCGTTCCCCGCTGAGCCCCGGAGGAGAGGCACAATGGCCGTGTTTCACGAAGTGAAGCGTCCATTGTGTGTGTCTCTGGCCCTCCTTCCACGGGGTGAGATCCAGAAATAGTATGTGTTGGAATGTGCAAGGGGCAGGCGACAGCATGAAGCTGATCTTGCTTTTTCATTTTTGAGACAATCACACACAATAGAGGACTTGCTCTGCAGAAGAATTGTCTTCTGTCCTTGTCTCTAGGGCCTTGTCAAGGCTCATCTTTTTATCCTCTGACCCAGCATGTGTCCCCAGGAGCCACCCGAGAGAGTGGCAAGCTCAATTCAGGTAATATCTTTAAAACCTCTGATCGGGCAGTTCTGACGTTTAGAAGTCTGCCCCCACGCGCCCCCCCCCACCCCACCCCACTCTGGGCACTCTCCTATTGTTGTGTGGTCTTGGCCCCCAGAAGTCACACTAGCCCACAGATCTGATTCACTAAAGGCTGGTTAGGAGTGGACGTGGGGCAGCAAGACAATTTGCTCACCACTTTCACAGCTTAGTAACCGAAGCCGATGCCAGCAACATCCCTGTAAAGATTGATCTTTTAAGCGGTGAATGCTTTCTTTTTCTTTTCTGATAGACATTTGGAGTTTTGACTGGGGGAACCAAAATGTTTTTGGCACACGGAACGATTTCAGGTGTTTTGGATTTTTTTCCTGGTGAGACCTCTGCTCCCTCACACCCCACTTACTCTCTGCCTCGTTAATAACGTGGCAAACGTGAAGGCCGTTTGAAAAACGACTGCCTGCAGTATTCATGTTCTAGGCCAGGGGTGGGCAAACTTTTTGACTCGAGGGCCACAATGGGTTCTTAAACTGGACCGGAGGGCCAGAACAAAAGCATAGATGGAGTGTTTGTGTGAACTAATATAAATTCAAAGTAAACATCATTACATAAAAGGGTACGGTCTTTTTTTTTTTTAGTTTTATTCATTTCAAACGGGCCGGATCTGGCCACGGGCCGTAGTTTGCCCACGGCTGTTCTAGGCAGCTGGCTTTACAAAGTTCAGCTGATTACACCTTGTGCAAATGTTCCTTGTTTCGAGGCTTGCTCCTGAAGTGGGATTTTAAATAACCCATCTATATGAGCCCAGCGGGTCCGTCCTCCCATCCCCTCCCAGACCTGGATGTGATTAGTCAGGTTGCAAACACAATAGCGTGTGTGTGAACTGCAGCCACCGAAGGGCCCATGTTAGGCCCAGGCTTCTGTGGTTCCTGACAAAGATGCCCTGAGGGGTAGGTGTTCCAGGCTGGCCAAGGTTTGGGTAGGGCCACACCCCATCTCCCTGCCCCCTGCTCTGTCGCATATGAGGGGCACCTGGGGTGTCGGCTTTCCACCCACTGCTTAGGAGAGACTGACTTGCCCATCTGGCTGCTTGGGGATCTCCTTCCTTCCTCCTCATTCTGCGTTTGGCCTGAAAAGTTGGCTGCATATATTCTGAACTCCCACAAAGACCATATGGTCTTTCTGATTCAACTGTCAACATTTTTCTCAGGCATCACTTTCTGAGCTCTTGCAGTCCTGTGACTCAGTGATGTCACAGTGGTTCTCCTGAGTGGTACAGGAGGGGTCTTCCCTGACGGTGAGCACACCTTTGACATCCCCATCTGCCTCTTCTCAGGCTCTGACCTCTGTCTGGAATACCTTGATGTCTGGTTCATTTTTCAAGATCAATGCAAATGTCACCTACTTGATAAAGCTGCTGTTCCCTCTTTCCTTCCAATCTCTATTTATGCTCCCTCTGACTTTTGTTACTCATTCATTCATTTACCCACTCACTCATCCATTCAAAGAAAGGTTTATTGATGCCTAGTTTGTACCAGACTTGATATATAGCAGTAAACTGAACAACAGAGACACCTCCCTGCCCTGGTGGAGGTAGCAGACATCAGCTGCACATGCAGTACATAAGTCAGTTAGAAGGGGATAAATGGAATGGAGTGTGAAAAAGAAAAAGCAGAGCGGGATTGCATTGACCAGAGCTTCCAGGAGGAGGTGGGGGCAAGAAGCAGCACATATTAATAGACAGGCCTCAGTGATACTCCCAGAGGTGGGCCTGGGGTCCTAGTAATGAGCAGTTGTGCCTTCTTCTTCTTTCCCAACCAGAAGGATGGGGACTGGACAGCTCATTGATTGATCTGCCAGCAGCACTTAGCACACAGCGCCTTGTGTGTGGTTGGTGCGCTAGAAATAACTGGTGAAATGGGAATGAATGTGTAAAAATGCACTTGAGGGCCAATAAGTAAACCCACTTCCTATTTTCCCCTTTTTTCTGCCTGTAAAAAATTATGATATCTGTGCTTAAGAGCCTGAGATCCCTTCCTACTTCCTTATTGTTTCAAGACAGAATTGTCACGGGAGCTCAGCATGCACAGGGGTTTGGGAAAGTGTTGGTCAACGCCTGAACTATTTTTTACATAAAAGCGTGCAATTTTAAGATGTAAACTTCATTTACATGTAGAATAGTTTAATGGTTTACTGCATTGGCCAGGTTTTGCTCTAAAATAATCATTTTTTTGTAAAGTAAATGACGTTTGGCAACCGAATAAGAGAAAACATTTCAAGGGTATACTTTAGTATTCATTTGCCATGAAAAACTCCAGGTTGTCTTGACAACCTCCAGATTTCATTAGCTTTCAGTTTACAAATATTTGTCAAGTGAAATAACATTATCCCAGGGCACAGCAATATCTAACCATGGATGGCGGAGATACAGATGTCACGTGGCCAATGAGTGTGCATTTCTGCTACCTGTGGTTTAGAGATTATGGGAAATCAATGCAGAAGATTGGGCGGCATTCAGCCGATAAAATTGGGTCTTCAGTCGAAAAAAAAAAAAGATCTTAGGCTGCAGTTGATCCAATGCTTTCAGCGTCCTCCTTTAAAATGTAAATGGCTGCTGTCCTTGATAAAATTCTCCCTGGAGAGCTAAAGTGCTCTGTATAATTTAGAGCCATGATTTCAACACTGCATCCACCACACAGAGTGTGTCCTAGACGGCTAGACCGTCCGGGTAGAGGCCCCTCTGGATAACCTGGGTTAGTTATCCAGCCGAGCTCTCCTGGGGGGCCCAACGTGGGGAAGGAAGAGGAGGAACCAGCAGGTAAGGCTCAGAGTTACCAACCCCGGTCCCACGCCTATTCTTCCATTTGCCTCTCAATACACCTTGAGCATTTTTATTGTCTTCATGCTTCCACGTAAGAGTTTATGTGAAGGAAGGGTTCTGAGGACGAAGACACTTTGAAAGAAATAGTTAGATTTAGATGGGCTCATTCGTTTTCCAGCACCCTGGAGAAGGTAAGACGCGCCACTCCCCGTACATGTACTGCAGTTCAACAGCAGTTAGAAATCCACCTCTTTGGAACTGTTTCCTATGTGTCCACCTCATAGGCAGCACAGACAGGGAAGCACAGTGTATAAGAGAGTGTGCGTTGAATGCACTAGTGAAATGTAAGGTACTGTCATTTTCTCTTTCCTATTATTGGAGCAATCGTGTAGGTTGTCAAACAGTGTTCCAGGGAACCCGAGGAGTCATTGCAGGAGGCTTAGGGACCTCCCTTCTTCAGACAAAGCCTCTTCCCTTTTGTCTGTTTTCTATGTCAGGCTTCCAGGTACAGTATCTTTTACACATAGGGCTCTCTACTGTTAACAATATTTGAAACCTCTGATAGAGAAGGATCTTTGCAAATAAGAATAAGTAACTATTTGTTTGAAATGCTGCGACTCATCTGTGTCTGTTGAAATGACCAGCCACGGAATATTCAGAGTGGCTGGCCCCTGGTTCAAGAAGATGACCGCCATAGATATGAGCCTCATGGAAGGACTGTCTGGAAACAAAGAGGCTGAAAACCAAGTGGCTGGCAAGACAACAGTCACCATGGAGACCTGTGAGCTGCACTGAGACTTGGGGTGTCTTTGAAGTCCAGTATTCTCAAGGCCTTTTCTTTACTTATTTATTCATTTGATCCATCTGTAGCCGATGAGGTAGTTCAGTGTAAGTGCCAAGGTGAAAACTAGTGGTACCTGACAGCTGATGGCCCTTTCTTTCCTGTCTTCTTATTCCAGTGTACTTACATTTCCGTCGACCAAGTTCCCAAGACTCATGCCATTGTGATCAGCAGACCTGCCTGGCTTTGGGGGGCAGAAATGGGAGCCAATGAACATGGAGTGTGCATAGCCAACGAAGCGGTCAATGCCAGGGAACCGGCCGCCGAGACGGAAGCCTTGCTGGGGATGGATCTGGTCAGGTATGTGTGGTGAAGGGGTGGGCACAGGATTTACCTCCCTCCAGACCTCATATTTCGTAATCCTTCCAGAGAATGTGTGTGCCATTTGATATAAACTTTGAGGTGATGGAAAGAAAAAGAATAGATTACAGTGGAACATTATTCAGCAATAAAAAATAATCAGGTACTGATATGTGCTACAGCATAATGAATCTCAAAAACATGATGCTAAGTGAGAAAAGCCAGCTACAAGAGGGCACGTATTGTATGACTCCATTTCTGTGAAGTAGCCAGAATAGGCAAATTCTTGGAAGCAGAGATGAGATTAATCATTGCTCAGGGAGTGGGAGTGATTCCTAATGATACGGGGCTTCTTTTGGGGTGCTGGAAGTGTTCTAAAGTTAGATTGTGGAGATAGATGCACAACTTTGTGAATATAACTAAACACCACTAAACTGTATATTTTAAATGGGTGAAGTTTATGGTATTTGAAATATATTTAAAATATATAAAAGAACAAGGAAACATATAAAATAGACAAGATCCAAGGAGAAAAGGTCAGAGCTCACTTTCCTGCTTCCTCCTCTACACTTCAGTCATCTTTCCTTCCTTTCCCTGTTCTTCCAGCCACCACATGACAGAAGGGACCCACAGGACAGGGTCCTTGTCTGCTTGGTCGCTACTGTATCACAAGCACCAGGACCCGTGTGCCTGGCGCATAGTAGGCGAACAATGATGGAGTTAGGAATGAGTGACTAAAGTAGAGGGTGGGCTGGAACGAAACAACATTCTGAGATGGCTTTCTTTTTTCTGAGATAGTGAAACACAACAGAGTCTCGGACACAGTTGAAAGAAGATTAGGTGGGAGCCAGGGTCTAGGGCAGTGGTTGGCAAACTGCGGCTCGTGAGCCACATGCAGCTCTTTGGCTCCTTGAGTGTGGCTCTTCCACAAAATACCACGTGCAGGCGCGCACGTACAGTGCGAAGTTGACTTAAAACTTTAAGTAAAGTTTATTAAGTTAATTTTAGGGAACGTTGTGGAGTGAAAGAAGATGTAGTGTCGAGGATTGAGAAAGGTATGTTGAGATGGTTTGGACATATAGAGAGGATGAACGAAAGGAGATAGACGAAACAAGTATACAAGACGAGTGTGGATGGGAGAGTTGGAAGGGGTCGACCTCATCGAACGTACCTCAATCAGATTGAGGACGTTTTTAGCAAAGGCCAGCTTAGGAGTACCCTAATTAAGTTAATAACAATGTACCTACCTATATAGTTTAAGTTTTAAAAATTTGGCTCTCAAAAGAAATTTCAATCGTTGTACTGTTGATATTTGGCTCTGTTGACTAATGAGTTTGCTGACCACTGATCTAGGGTTTTCGGTGTAGATACACCAAGTTACATCCCCTTTCTGGGCTCTGGTTTCCTCATTTATCCAATGTGAGGCCTTAGATTGGATGACTTCTAACGAAGTCAAAGCTAACATCTTGTAAAAAGGAGTGCCGATTTTCACATTCTGTAGGTTTTGTAGGAAGAAATTGCACATTTACACAGAGACCTCTGAGGCCCACTGCTTCTGCCGAACGATGGATAGGCCTGCTAGTGACACTCTTTTGGTAGCATGTGGCCTTTGTGCCTGCCTCACCTGTCTTCACTCTTCCTGGTTCTTACAAACTCAGAGGAGCAGGTACCCTGAGCTAGAGAAGAGGAAAAAGCCTCATGATTACCATGAGTTTTCTCTTAACAGAATGAAATTATGGAGTAACAAGTTTTGAGGTTATGTTTGAGAGCTGTCCCAATATTTTTACCACCATCCTTCATAGAAATCCTGCACATGGAGAGTTAACGATGAAAAGTCTGCCCCTTGTATGCGTCATTGATCACTTTGCATTTTGAGTTATCGTAGTATTTGTGGCATGGGATTTACAGCACTGGCAAAGGTCACCACTTTAATGGAAAGCTGACTTACTGCAATCTTCTAATGGGTTCAGTCTTTTATCGCTCTCTTAGGGTCTTAGGATGCAGCTTCACAAATCATTGCCTTGGCACCAAGTCTTCCTAAATAAGCTTAAACGGAGAAATGCCAAGTGAATTGATATATAATTTTCTGACTATGAAAATAAGCCTCTTACAAGAATAAGTCCGTAGCCTGTCACCTTTTCTTCTCCCTGGCAGCCCAGTGAAATACATGTCCTTTCAGGAAGAATCCAGCTGGGTGAACTTTAATAATGATTGCTTCTCACACTGAACGTTCACCAAGAACTGGCCTGTTCTCCCCTTGTGGCCGGCTCCATCACCTCCTTCTAAGACCCTGTTCCGGCCACCAGAGTTGTGATTTGAATGAAGAGATGAATTAATGGACAGTTACTGAGGACTTAGCATGTGCCTTCCTCTTTCAAATCAGCCAGAGAGGGAAGTCGTACTGTTTTCACTTTACAGATGAGAAAACCAGGTTCGGAAAGGCTCGGTTACTTAAGGTCATGCTGCCGTGGGTAGCAGAACCAGAACTGAACATGGGTCCCTTTATTTCTCAGTCAACTGTTTTTTGGCCACGGTGTGCTACCTCTCACAACTTACCGGTCACTTACTTGGTCTTGGGCCCTTGTGCTATATATTTTCAAGGTCATTATCTCATAAAACCCATCCTCCTAGCAACCCAATGATATAGATTCTTATTTTATAGGTGACATAAAACTGAAGTTTAAATAGATTATGTAGCTTTCCCAAGGACACATGGAGGGCAAGATCTGTGCCCTCTCTTAGGGGTCTATGAATTGGAAGGGCTGGGAGGAGATTGCTGTTTCGCTTCAAGAGAAATATGTGCTTTTGGACAACCGAAGCTGTAAGCCACCCCAGCAGAGATACGCTGATAGGCAGGAGGTGAAATATGTAGAAAAGGATTGATTGCGTCCTAACCAGCAGCCATTTCCTACTGAGGTCTCTTGAGACAGTTATATGCACCGAAGACAATGGCTGGCTGTGGAAGACTTTTATTACTAACCAAACTACCTGATGTAGCATAACAGAGAACAAGGCTGGATGGGGCAGAGGTTTCCTTTTGCCCAGAGGCAGGAGAGTAGAGGCAAGAGGGAGAATAAGCCTACAGAAGAGGTCTGCTAAGAGCTAGAGCAGAGCCTGCCAGCTCCCTGGGAGATGGAGCTAGAAAAGAGAAGGGGAGGTGGCTGAGCCACTGGGGTCCTGTGTGGGTGGAGGATGCCCAAAGACAGAAAACACCCCCATGACTTTGAACCAAACGTGTGAGAGCACTGTTCATTTGCCTGCATATTGGCCTGCGTATTTAACATATTTACACATGTTGGCGCACTTCATAACTCAGCCTCGTCCCAATCTTTGTTTGCTATGGTAATAATCGCACGGTACGAAATGTCTGAGCTATACCTCTGGTTTCCTTACTCCAGGCTTGGTTTAGAAAGAGGGTCAACAGCCAAGGAAGCCCTAGATGTCATCGTCGCCTTGTTGGAAGAACACGGGCAAGGTGGGAATTATTATGAAGATGCAGGCTCCTGCCACAGCTTCCAGAGTGCTTATCTGATTGTGGATCGTGAGGAGGCCTGGGTGCTCGAGACCGTAGGGAAGTACTGGGCTGCTGAGAAAGTCACAGGTAAGGGGGCATGGATAGCGAAGAGCTTTATGGGCAGAGAAGGCTGGGATGGAAGTTGCCTGGGCTCACAGGACTCATGCTGCTGCTGGAGACCCTCTCTGTGCTGCCATGAATCTTCTAGAGAGGAAGCTGGAGTCTTCTGAACCCGGAGGGAAGGGAGGTCACCACTTGGGAAGCATCCTCCTAACATTTCCTATTTTCTGTTTGCTTTCTGGGCAGGACCCAATTCAGACCACTAGTGGTTTCATGATCCAAATTGCTTCTTGATGAATTGACAAAGGGAATAGTGATTTTTTCCAGTCCATTCACAATAGGTCAATGAATTACTACTACAGGGAGTTGCCCTGATCACCCCAGTCCTATAGCTCTTTGTGCTTGGAATGTTCCCCTAACAGAGGAATTCGGATTTGTCTGCGAACCGTTGAGTTCCTCTGGACCAACAAGCCATGTCGCTGGGAGCAATGTTTCTAGAACAGCAGAGGCTAGGAAATCCACCCAGAAGGATTTACTGCCCAATAAATTACTGCTCCGTGCTTCCTGCAGCATCTTGTTCTAAGATAGTTCTGAGGAAGGAAATATTGTGTGTGTGTTGGGGGGGGGGAGGTAGGGGGAGGGAATGGCTGTCTTGTATCACTGCCTCAGCACCCCCATATTCTGCACAGGATGGAATCCCAGAGTGGGTTACAGGACTTCCAGAGGGCTAAAGAGTTCTAAGAAAGGATTGGCCAGTGAAGCCCCCCTTATATCCTGAGGCCTGGAAGACAAATACAAATCACGCCCACAGCATTTCTCCGCTCTCATGCCAGTGGAAGACATGGCTACAGAACTCTTCTCTTGTTGAACCTATACTTGGTCTGTGTATTTTTCTCAACTGAATTTACCAGGAAGTCTCTTCCAGCTCCTCAGAAATGATGTCAGGGGTGACACCTGTTTGCCATCTCTGCCTGAAGGGTGACTGGAACCAAACCTAAGCTGCGTTAGAAGCAGAAGATCTACTGCATCGTTGAGGCAGTGAGGCAGTGAGATCTAGCTGTGGTTTCTTGACGAAGCCGTGCAAAGGCCGTGTCTGCCTGGAGGAGGAGGCGATTTCTTCTCATTCTCACAAGGGATTGCACCTTGAGGCAATCTCAGAGCATTTCTCCACCCACGTACACCCCACATACACCCAGGTGTGCCTGCCTGCCCTACTTCCACAGTAGTTACAAAACTAATGTAGCTGATGTGGCCCGCCAGGTCTCCAAGCCTCCTTCGATGCAGGAACTTAAGACTCCCTTAAACAAATTTCTTCTAAAATGAAGTCTTACCATTGCATAGTTCCACCAAGAAGGCTATTGGTCCATGCTGAAGGACAATCGTATTGTTTTAAGTAGAATGTAAAACTTTTTTTAATCTATAATTGCATTCAAAAGCTTAGTCTCACTTCAAAGTACAACTTAAAAACCCATCTCGTCAAAATGCATGTCCCCTTTCACTAAATATTTAAAGGGGGAAAAACCCAGCCATTCCTTGGATTCATTGATTTCATGTCCTCTGATCTCAGCAGTCATGTGACTGCAGTAGGAGTTAATGAACTCTGGCCCTCGAATGCTAAAATTCCTGAAAGCAAATGTCTATTATAATCAGCCTTCTAGGAAAATAACGTGTAGTTATTCGCAAGACTTAAAAATATCTTAGTGTGAATAATGTCAAAAACCACTTATGTAGGCCAAAGCTACTATTTGTTTTCATTTAAAAAATAATTTTACACTTCTGGTGACCTCTAAAAAGATGAAGGCAAAGGACATCGGCCAGGCATACTCAAGGAAGCAGAAGATGCTGAAGGAACTCAGCCCAGCCCTGACCCTGCCTCCAGGAGCTGGTTTTCAGGCAGTAATGGCTTCCGTGCAGCTTGAAGTCCAGGCTGTCTTTTTCTACTTCATTCTCCAAGTATTTAGAAGATGAACATGTTCCCTGGAAGCAGCAACCATGAATGGCTGTTTTGAGCTATAAGTGAATACTTCCTCGTGATCTGGACATTGTGTTGAAGCTTGAAGGTCAGGTTATCCTCGCTGTATTTGTAGCTCAGGCTTTGAAGAAGCCATAGCCAGCCTTCCAGCACATAGGAGAACAGGTGCCCTAACCCACATTCTTCACAGGGGTGTCCTCAGAAAGCAGGCAGCCCTGATTCCAGATGTATCTAGCTATACTTACATTTTTATGAGAAAAAATTCCCGTAGATTTTTCTCACATGCACCAGTGACACAGGAACATGCTATGTCCAGGTACATTCTGTTAGTTTAACACTATTCATTATCAGGGCCACTCTGTTTTTCTAAATGTTGGGACCTGAAAAAATAATTGAATGAAGAAGGATCATATTTGTATTTTTTTTAAAAACTACACACATATATGGGTGGGAGGTGGTGGTGGAAGGTGTTCAAGTAGAGCAAGACTAAACTGGGGAGGAAGATTCTCCATGGTTGCGACATTCACAAGTCTTGTTAGTCGCTCAATGCTTCTTTCAAAGAACTTTTCACTTTTCTCGTAAGTAGTGAATGCATGGGTTTATTCAGCCAGAAGGAGGGGCCTCACATGTTTCCTTTTGATTAGAAATTTAAGATCTTGTGATTGTTGCTCATTTACAATGTGGTAATGCCAGTCAGGATTGGTCAGACCTTCTGACCAACTAATGTAGCTGATCTTCTCAGGAGAGGACCAAGGACGGTCTGTTTCTCTCTTCAAAAATGGAACTTATTCCATCCCTGTAGTTAAAGTCAGGTTGCAGGGGAGGGATTCCCTGTAAATTTACATTTCTTGATTAAGTCTTTGTAAGTGTATTTCCAACTAACTGGGCCTTGCACTCTCTGCAGAGGGCGTCAGGTGCATCTGCAATCAGCTCTCACTCACCACCAAGATCGATGCAGAGCATCCCGAGCTCAGGAGTTATGCTCAGAGTCAAGGCTGGTGGACAGGAGAGGACGAGTTCAATTTCTCTGAAGTTTTTTCTCCAACTGATGACCATCTACACTGCTGTGCAGGCAAAGACAGCTTAGAAAAGCAAGAAGGTGAATTATTACTTCCCTTATCTTTCTCCCTCCAACACCCTTTGTCTTACAGTTATTTTGGAGAACTTGTCTGAATTTAGGAGGGTGAGCAAAGAGGAGGAGTAGAGAATAGACTTTGTATTTGGAGACCAGCTTGCACTAAAGGTCCTGATGTTCACACAGGATGACAACTTGCATTTATTCTTATAGGATGATTTCTCATCCACAGAATTTTCCTGCTGCTGTTTAAACATTAACATCATTGTGATACTTACTGCAGCCTTTCTTATACCCCAGCATTTGTATATTTGACTTATCTCCTCCCTAATTTTCTCCTCTTATTAGCCTGCTGGGCCTTGAGGGCAGGGGAGTTGTCTTTTACTCATCTTAGGACCCTCTTGTGATGCCTGTTATAGTCCTTTGTTCTATGAACATTTATGAAGTTAACTGTTGAATTGAATTTTCTTCCTGAGCCCTTTGTCTTCCACCCAAGTATTGACTTAGTCAGAACCGATATTTAGGTAAATATGGTGACTGGGTAGCTTGTTACTTTGTGTCTGAGTGGAAACGCTTCCAAATAAACCTCAATGGCCATATTTCATATTTGCTAGTGATACGTGTTGTGTTAAGTCAAACCTTTGATCATTTAGAATAGGCATACTATGCCTTGTCATCAGCCACCTATTTTGTAACTAAAATTTTATTGGAACTCAGCCATACCGTTTATTTATGGCTACTTCTGTGAGCAGTTGTGACAGGTAGGTTACAACAGAGATTATATGGCCCATAAGCCTAAAATATTTATCTGGTTCTTTAAGAAAAAGTTTGCTGACCCTTAAACCTAGAAGAACATTTAAAGACTTTTGTTGTAGAACTTAATGAATATATTCTGGGCAAGAAGGTATGAACATATTTTAAAATGGGGAACTCTTAAAAAAAACACCCTCAACGTTTTAATAAAAAAAACTAGCTTGATGGAAGCATATAATACCATGTATGAAGTTGTTCTGCCAAAACATCAAACCTGAATCTGATGAACCTCTAGATCTAGCTACTAGTTCCTGGTAAATACAAAGAATGGGCAAACATATTAAATAACACCAGGGGGATACGTTCTGCAAAGTTCAGACTGGGAGCCTATAGGAGACGTGGTCCAACAAATAAAATGTAAGGGAGAAAAATGCGAGGCAGAGATGAAGAGAGCTTTAAGAGACATTATCAACTTATTGGATCCTGATTCAAGTCAATAAACTCATTATGAGACAGTGAGGAGGTCTGAATACTGAGTAGTGGAAGAAATAGAGGACTTATTGTGAATATTTTCGGGAATGATATGTTGTAAATAGAGGCATACAAGGAGGATGTGGTTGTGCTAGTGAACTGTAAGGTGTCTTCTCCCTAAGAGATGCTTTGATTCCATCTTTGTGAACAAAGTCTGAAAAGATAGTGTTTTAATGAATTATAACCAGAGGGAGAAAAAGTAGAACTGGATTCAAGGATTTGTTTATCTATTTATCTACAGAGAGAGCCACCCATCATAGTGACTCTGACTATTCTCTGTGCATATTTTCCACAGCAGAGAGGTCATTCTCCAAATATAGTACCGATTCCAACCAGTAGGGGTGCATGCGAGAGCTTGCTTGGTGGGTAGATTGCATATACCTTCTTATGGGTATCATTTCCTGTGTTACTGCGCTGGTTGAGGGATTTCTAAGTGCTGTATCAAAGAGACCCTGACATAAATGTGCTTAAAGAAAATGGAAGTATATTTCTCTCCCATGGTACAGTCCAGATGTCCACAGACAGTCCAGGGCTGGTAGGTTTCTCTGCCTCAACACAGGACTTCCGTTTGGGATCCACTCGCTGGCATCTCTCAGCCAGCAGGAGCAAGCATTCCTTTTTAGGGATGTGACAAGGAAGTTGAGCACATCATTCCCACTTGTCTCCCACTGGTCAGGATTTACCCATGGCCACACCTAGCCACAAGGGTCTGTAGTTAGGCAGTTGTGTTCCCAGCTATAATGTCAGGAGTTCTATTTCAGAAAAGGGAAAGGCGTGAATGGATTTTGGTTAGCAGCCTGAGGCAGTGATATCTCCCCCACCTCTGTCTTTACAGAAGGAATCACTGTGCAGACTATGATTGACATCTTACGGGACAAAGCCAGTGGCGTCTGCATAGACTCCGAGTCGTTCCTGACCACAGCCAGCATGGTGTCTGTCCTGCCCCAGAGCAGAGGTTCACCGTGCATCCACTACTTCACCGGGACCCCAGATCCCTCCAGGTTCGTCTGAGACACAGTCGTGTAAGCAGAAAGTGTATGGCGCCTTCGAAAGCTCGTCCAACAAGCGCACAACAGGTTCCCGCCCTGCCTTTTGCATGGCTGAGCCACATGATTTAGTCATTCTTAACGTGGCCGGGGCAGCATAAAAAGCTTCGATTCAGGGGTGTTCCCAGCTTTAGTCACATAGCATTCATCACAATCATGGCATCCAATGGTTTTAAATTCAGCAAATGCATATTGATTATGTATCATGGGCCAGGCGTGGTGCTGTATGTGGGGCATGCAAAGCTAAACAAGTCACAATGAGACAGAGAGATTGCAGGATTGTCCAAGACTTGTCACAACCACCAGTTCCTAGCAGTTAGAGGACAAAATGGCCCAGAGGCAAAGCTGATGGAAGCGACTTCACGCGCACTGGCCAGTACTTCTAGACATTGGATTTTAAGGGGTTGCTTTCTGCCCAGGAACTTCAGCGAAGAGGTAGAATTGCACAGTGGGTAAGAGCATCAGCCTTGAGATTAAACTGCCAGGATTTTGAATTCCACCTCAGTCAGTTAGGAGCTAGATACATCTTGTAACATCTCTAAGCGTCCGTTTCTGTATTGTACAATGGGGATAATACTAGTCCCTACTTTGATGTGCTTGTTGGGCCTCCTTTTTGAAATTTTATTTTTCAATTGCAGTTTATATCTAATACTAGAGGCCTGGTGCACAAAAATTTGTGCACTGGGGGGGGGGTCCCTCAGCTCAGCCCAGCCTGCCCCCTATCACATACTGGGAGCCCTCAGGGGATATCCTACTCCCTGCTCCCCTTGGGGAGTGGGCCTAAGCCGCAGTCTGGCCTCCCTTTGTGGGAGGCAACCGGGCTGATCAGGGGAAGGCACCAGCCCCATCACCCCGCTGTTGCAGCCACTGCCAGTCACCGCAGCCACCAAGGTGTTTTCATCAACACAGACTCCAGTCCCTTCACCATGAAATAATGACAACTTTCTTTAGGCATTTTCAAGATGTGTCTTTCATAGGATATGACATTTCTTTCTTTCTTTTTTTATCCTCACCTGAGGATATGTTTCCATTGATTTTTAGAGAATGTGGAAGAGAAAGGGAAAGACAGAGAGAAACATCAAAGTGAGAGGAACACTTTGATTGGTTGCCTCCTGCATGAGCCCTGACCTGGGCCCGGGCCAGGGAGGAGCCTGCAACCTAGGTACATGCCCTTAGTCAGAATTGAACCCAGACCCTGCGGTGGGCAGGCCGAGGCATTATCCACTGAGCAAAACCAGCTAGACAGGATATGACATTTCTTAGCCCTCCAGCAGCGGACCTTCCTTTTTTTCTCCAGGAGTGTGGTAAAAAACCCTAGATCACCTATTTGGATTCTTATTATCCAAGTAACTAAGAATATTACCAGTGGCATACAGGGAGCTTAGCCAATGAGCAGTCAGAAAAGGTGTTTCCTCTGTAGTTCACACCAATTGTCGGTGCAGCCCCTGCCCAGGGCTAACGCCTCTGGCCCAGTCATTAGGCCTGGGCAGGGGACCCCCAGTTTCCACAATCACCGGCTCCGCCCCTGCTCCCCGCCATGCTGGCTCCCTCCCTGCTCCCCGCCATCGCTGGCTCCCTCCCTGCTCCCCACCATTACTGGCTCCCACCCTGCTCCTGCTATTGCTGGCTCCACCCCTGCCCAGGCCTAACTCTTCAAGGTGTTAGCCCTGTGCAGGGGACCTCTCAGCTCTGATTGCAGGCTCCGATAGCTGCTGGGCGCCTACGTATGCAAATTAACTGCCATCTTTGTTTGGTTAATTTGCATACTCACCAGATTGGCTGGTGGGCGTAGCGAAGATATGGTCAATTTGCATGTTTGTCTATTATTAGGTAAGATTATTTTGCATTAGTTTTAAGTGTGGGCCTCATGTTTTAAATTACAGCCAATATCAATAGAGACTTTTAACAGGACTGGACTATTAAATTTGGTTTAAGGTATTCTTAGTTTTTCATTCACTCATTTATTCATTCAACAAGAACTTATTAAGCACCTACTGTGTACCACATAGTGTGCTTTTTGGGTACTAGAGACTAACTGTGTACAAGGGAAGAGATGGCACACAGCGACACCTAAGAGGAACACTTCACAGAGGAAGGGACTCTTGAGTGCTGGGCATTGTCGGAAGAATAGGAGTTTGTTAGGGACAAAAAGCAGGAATGACAGTCTGAGTCTCTTAGCTTGCTGTCAAATCAAAGCATGTGCAAAAGCAGAGAGGCATGAAAGCTTGTCTCCCAATGCTAGTGACTCAACGGCCCCTTGTGAGCCCTCGCTGCTGCCCGCGAGGGTACACGTGGGCTTTGGGAGCGTCTGGATGCTCTGCCGAGGTATTGGACATTGCTCTTTAGGGAACAGGAGCCTTCGAAGAACTGAAGAATGACTGTGCCCCCACCCCTTGGCCCCCTGTGTCAGACACCTGCTCTGACAGTGGCTAGAAGCCAGGCCATGTGACGCCAGGACAATAACATAAAGGGAGTCTGATTCCTCGGCTGAAGTGCTCGGCCTAATACAGTCAGAGAAACGGGCTGGGAAATAACCTTCAGGTATTTAAAATGGAAAGTCTCACGTAACTTTAAAAGCAAATTATCCCTGAGTCCCATTAATTAAAAAGGCCTTAAGGCAGATTAAGAGCCTTCCGAAGGCATTCATTTTTATCTCCCACCGTTAAATGAGCTGCGTTTCCACGGCAACCGCAGGACGGTCATAGCTTTCTTTCCTCGTCAACATTTCAATATTTCCCTGTAATTGGGCATGTTCAGCATTTTGTATTTTGTCAGCAGGAAGCACAATTAACTCCTCTTGGGCTTTGAGGTAGTAAAACGAGGGGCCTTTGAGCTGCTTCTGTTAACGCTGAAGGCAGCAGAGAGGTGTGTGGGGGAAGTGGTTTCAGGGCAGTGCACTTGCAAAAGATTATGATCAAAGCACAGGACTGTGGGACGCATCCCTCCCGGTGAGTGTCCGACACCGCAGGACACGCGCTGGCTACTGCTCCGTGTGCTGCGGCACTTCTCCGCCCTTTGCACACTGTATTAATTATAGATCCTCTTCCCAAAACAACTTGATCTCACATTCTCTTTTCTCTCCTCCTTCCCTCCCTTATCTTCCCCGACCCGCCTACTAGCAAGAACCAGGTACTATGTAAGCTTGAGAGTTGGAAGGAGGTGCAAAAGTCGGAGTTCAAACTAGAGGGAGATGCAGAAGACCTTGAATTAATTTATCGAGAAAGCACATTCCATCTTATCAATATTCTGTTGTGTCAGCTGGTGCCTTAGTCATTCGATAGTGACACTGATGGGCTTGTGTGCACCTGTTCTGACCTTTGGGAACCATTTCTGGTTGGAGGCCAGTACTTGTTGAAGTTCCATTGATGTGAAGAATCAGAGAGGGAAAGGGTAGCGATACCTTCACAATTTGAGACTGTACAGTTCAGTCCTGCAGTGTCGGGAGCCAGTGAGAGCCGATTAAGTGCATCCTTCCTGACTCTATGTTCTGGGATGTCACATCAGTAACTTGAAATGGGCCACAGTGGGCGTATTTACACCACGGAAATTGGCAGACGCCAGGAAGCAGGGCTTATTTTATTTTATTTTTTTCAGAGATGCAATTGTCAACCCAGTACGCCACTGAGAGGCCCCCACAACTGGGAAAACAAACACTCCACATAGAGGATGAATAAACCAAGATGGGAAGATAATTTAAACACTTTCCATTTTAGATATTAGAAGGCCATTTCCCAACCCATTTCCCTAATTACTTTAGGCCATGCACTTCGCCCAGGAAACAGAAAAGAGGGAGGCAGTTCTAGGAAAATAGGGTGTTTGATGCACTTGAACTGGTGGCAAGGAGCTGGGGAGATGCAAGGGACATGGGGTGCGTGTGTGTGTGTATGTGTGTGTGTGGTTTCCTCCTTCTCCCAGTGTAGTAGGCTTGAGAGGCTAAATTGGATCTGCTGTGACGGTCTCATCTGGTTAATTCAAATGTTAGGGACAAGGGGCCCCTTCTTGTTATTGGAGTTGAGAGAAACTGGTTATTCTAGATTCTTTCCAAGTTGGTTCCAAGTTTAGCAGATTCATCCCAGTGGGACCCTGTGTGCTGCTCCTGTCTTGCCAGTCACCCCTCAGGGGATCTGGGGGGCCTCCGGGGCATGGGGTGAGCCTGGCTGAGTCTCCGGGGGAGTGTCTGCCCCTTCAGTAAGAACAGAGTCACGCTAAAGTCAGAAGCGTTGGCTGGCACTGACATTACAATTCTCAACCCCAATCACAAAAAGTATTTCATTTTTCTTCAGCGGCACAAGGTGTTTATACATAAACCAACAGGACGCTGCAGCGGTGAGAGGGAGTGGGGAAAGCTGACCGTGGCTTTGGAAGATTTGGCTCTCGGTCTGCCACTCCTTAGGAATGTGTCTGGACCAAGCTTGTAGCTTCTTTGAGCCTCAGTCACCTCGTCTGTGAAATGAGACAGAAGCCTTTGCCCTGCCTTGTTCATGGCTGTAACCTTAGGTCCTAGAACAGTATTTGGTACTCAGTTACCGTCAACATGTATTTACTGATTGAGTGAAGGAAGGAAGGGAGGAGTGAATGAATGAATGAATGAACGAGCAGGGGTACCATTCATTATCAAAAATGGTAATTTTTCTAAATGAGAAAACAAATGAGAGAAAGACATTTTGTGTGTTTTTTTTTACACTGGCTTGTTGCATTCATCACAAAATTTAGGGGAAAACAAGACAGATAAGGCAAAGATGTCCAGGTATGCACGCACATGTACACGTACGTACGTTCACACACACACACACACACACACACACACACACACACACACACACGGCCATTTCCCTAAAATACACCCGTTGGGCCAAAAGAGCGGAATCAAAGAGTGTTTGCCTGGGCCCCCTCCTGTGCCCAGAGCTCCCCACCCTCTCACCGCCAGACTTTATTTCTCTGGGCTTCTCTTTGTGTCGTCCACCTTAATCTGTCCCCTCCCTGAATCTGTCAGAATTATTCCAGAATTTTTCAAATAAGGTAGAACTTAAAAAAGAGAGTGAGAAGGGGTCTCAGAGCCTTCCTTTCCCGGAGGCCACTTCCCAGCAAACCATGCGCGAAAGGCCACCTCGCTGAGTGTAAACAGAGGACCCTTTTCTACTTGCCTCGCTTTATGTCATTGGAAGGGCCTCCGCACGGTCTTCCCGAGCAGGCAGGTCTGTCTAGGCGGCTCCTCCCTGTGAATAGGAGAAACCGCAGCTTGTAAGTGGCAGTGAACTTCATGGAAACCTTCACTAAACCCTGCAGTTGTGTCTCTCTTGGCATGAACCCACCCTCCACCCACCACCCACCCTCCACCCACCACCCTCCACCCTCTACCCCCAGAAATGGCTGCTGAGTGAAAGGACCGCTTCTGGTGCCCTCCCACCCAGCCTGGCTGAAGCCCCTCTCCTTTCTCTCCAGGTCCATCTTCAAGCCTTTCATCTTTGTGGACGATGTAAAACTTGTCCCCAAAGCACAGTCTCCCTGTTTCGGGGATGACGACCCTGCCAGAAGGGAGCCCCGGTTCCAGGAGAAACCAGACCGTCGGCACGAACTGTACAAGGCCCACGAGTGGGCACGCGCTGTCATCGCCAGCGGCCAGGTGAGCCGGGGCTGGGCCGTGGACAGTGGTGGGGTCAGTGAGCACGGGCCAGGAGAGCAGGGCACAAGTCACCCTGTTCCTCCGCTCCAGCACGCTCCTCCCCAAAACCCAGGCTCCCAGGCCCTTCCCAGGAGGCGGTGTTCACTGTCCCACCCCGTCCCCTGAAAGAAACCAAAGCCTATGCTTCTGATGTTATTCTGGAGCCCAGTGGGCTCAGAATAGCCCCTGTCACTTACTGTTCACCTAGGAATCCCCGAAATGTGCAGCCCGGTTGGGACGGCTGCTTTGCTTCTTCCTACAGGTTTGTATACTTTTGGGGACACAGGGTTGTAATGTGGTGGCAACACTTTAAAAATGCTTAAAAAAAATTGATTCTTCCCCAAAGTCCTGGAGATGGATAGGGCCGCACAACAATGTGACTGTACCTAATGCCACTGAACAGTACACTGAAAAGGGCTCCAGTGGTATTTTCGGTGGGATATACATTTTATGACACTAAAAGAAAGATTCTCAAGTTTTCAGTTAAAAAGAAGTTTTTCTTTAAAGTGCAGATCCCCTGCCCCCCCAAAGCTTTGGAACTTAAAGCTATGAGACGTAAACTCTAACAAGGCCACCCCAGCACCCGTGAGCATTCCTCTGCAGCCCCAGCTGTACTTGGTGGAAGGGAGGAGGAAGGACTGGGCATGTTAGACGCGCATCCACCCTCAAGCGTTTAGGGAACAGCTGGGAGCAGGTCCAGTTTCTCCGGGAGAAAGGGCCCCTTTTAGGTGAACTGAGCACGTGCTCTGTGTGGGCCGGGCGAGCACCAGGGACTGCAAAAGGGACATAGAGAAGGCGACCCTGGTGGCAACCCAGTGGGTTCCGACAGCGTCTCTGAGCAGGGCAGGCTCAGTGGTCACAGAGCTCGCACCTCCACGCCACCAGCTGTCGGCTGTCTTACGCCTGTCCGCCCGCCCACCATTCCCCAGAGTCTGCACCGCTGCTCCCGTGGCTCCTGCCAGCGCATTTTCTAAGCCGGATAGGGACCGAGAACGGTTTTGAGGATCAGGCGATAGGAGGCAGAGGCAGGAAGGGCCGTGTGGGCTGAGCGCTTCTACCCCAAATTCTAGAGCTGAGCCGGTGAGGGCGAGTGGGCTTTGAAATGTGGAAATGACCACAGGTCTGAGTCAGGGGGTGGTGACAGCAGCGTCTCCCTCCGGGACTTATTGTGCTACCACATCTGAGGCTCTGGCGCCTGGAGCCACGCCCCGTCCTCACCCCCCAGGAGCCCAGGGTCTAACGGGGACACAGGCAAGCAGGCAGAGCTTCACGTGACAGAGAGCAGCCGGCAGGAGGCAAGGCCCTGCCCTGGGAGCCCAGAGGAGAGGCCTGCAGAGGGGTGCAGCTGACCAGGCCCTGGGGGACACGCTGGCTCAGGCAGTGGGGAGGACGGGCTGGAGGGAGGCAGCCGAGTCAACTGGCTGAGTCGAAGGGGTGTGGCTAGAGGCCAAGTAAGAGCCTCGTGTGTCCCACCGGCCTGGGATGCCACTCAGGATGTATTCTGAAGGCAGCGGAAACCAGGCAGGTATGCCAGGCAGAGCAGTGACACCCAGGTTGGCATCTGGAAGGATCCCATGGCGGTCATGTAGGAAACACTGGATAGGGTGTCCCACCCCAGGAGGCTTTCGGGGTTCGGGGCAATGACCTCCCCCCGCTTGTGCTTCCTCAGGAGCAGGGCCGCAGGCTGCGGAGGACCATGCTGGAGCTGGAGAAGCAAGGCCTGGAGGCCATGGAAGAAATCCTGGCCGGCCCCGCGCCCCCGGACCCCGCCGAGGTGGCCGACCTTTTCTATGACTGTGTGGACACGGAGATCAAGTTCTTTAAGTGAAGCGGCCCGCCCTCCCCCTCGTATTTAAAGTTTCCCACCGACTAACTTACCAGCAAAACCACCGCTCTCCCGGGCGAGAAAGACGAGAGGCCGTCCGTGGCGGCTGGCGGTCCCTTTTCCGAAGCCAGACCGGACGGACACTTGTGTTCCGCGTCCCCTCTGCCACGCGGTCCCCTTCCTCTGCTGTGTGACATGTGCCCCGTGCGCCCGTGGTTCCCCGTGTGACTAATCGTGGATTTCAAGCTGCTGTTGTTGTATTTCCGTGACAATGGACGCGTTGGCCTTTCCGGGAGGATGTGCGCTCACCAGGCCCTGGAAGGCAGGCTCCACAGTGCTGAGCGGGCGGGGAGGCAAAGTCTCCTGAGGTCTTCCTCGCTGAGTAAGTTTCTTCCAGGCTCACAAACAGCATTGCTGTGTCTGGCCCAGGGCCTTGCCTGTGCCGAGGGAGAAGCTTCCTGGCCGCCCTGAACGCGAGGGCTTGTCTGTAGTGCGGAAAGTCTCCAGGTGTGTCTTCTGAGGGACACATCTGGAGGGAAGGAGGACAGCGGTCCCGTCCAGTCCCAGCTCCGTCCAGCTTCCCGTGATCCTCACAAACCCATCTTCTGTGCCCCGTGCTTGTGAGCAGTGGACCCACCGACGGCTCCCACGTGCGGGAGGGCTGCTCCCGTGTGAGCGGGACCCGCCCCCTGTAGCGAGTCAGAGGCAGCCACACCTGTGGCTTCCCTGCATCCCCGGGTGGGCCGCCCAGAGGCACCAGGCTCACCTGCTCCAGCGCACCCGCCACCTGGCTGCCCTGGTGCAGGATGGTTCCGGCCTGCTTACCGCCGTCTGTTTAGGTCAGTGGTTCTCAACCTTGGCTACACATTAGAATCACCTGGGAATCTTTTTAAAATCCTGATTTCTAGGCCTCATCCTCCGGAAATTCTGTTTCTTTGTTATGGGGTGGGGCCACAACATTAGTAACAAAGAAACAGAATTTCCAGAGGTGGAGGCCCAGAAATCAGGATTTTATAAAGATTCCCAGGTGATTCTAATGTACAGCCAAGGTTGAGAACCACTGGTTTAGGTGAATTACCAATAAAGGGCCCTCTGGCACAGTTCCACCCCGCAAAGCCGCCAAGCTCTCGGTTAATGAGGGGAAGAGAGGGAGAAACTTTTGGCTGTTTCGATTCTAGTTAAAGTAGCTGGAATCCGGGCAGACACAACATTATCTCAGCAGAGACTTTAATTAGACTGATTTGTTTCCAATGTCGTGTTCGCATGAAGGATTTGACTTACCACCGGAGCGCAGAAGAGCCTGCGAGGAGGACCAGATGGGCCAGCGCTGGGAACACAGAGGGCAAGAAGGCGACAGATGGAGGTAGAAGCATCTCGCTCCAGGGTAACAGGCCAGCCCCCGCCCTCCCTGCCCAGCCTGTTACAGCCCACAGAGCTGTGTAGGGAGCAGCTGGCTTTCCCTGGGCCTTGCCTCCATCTCTCCCACCCCCATGTCCCAGCAGCTGCCTTGAGACTGGTGGCTGGCGCGGGCAGGTGCAGGTGGTGGGGGGCTTACCTCCAGCCACTGACACTCTCCATCACGCTCGGAATGGAAAGGGGCGGAGATGGTCCGACCAGCGTGGCTCAGAGATTGAGCATCGACCTATGAACCAGGAGGTCATGGTTCGATTCCCAGTCAGGGCACATGCCCGGGTTGCGGGCTCGATCCCCAGTGTGGAGCATGCAGGAGGCAACCGATCAATGATTCTCTCTCATCCCTCTCCCTTCCTCTCTGAATAAATTTAAAAAAAAAAGGAAAGGGGTGGAGATGAGTCATGGAGAATGTGGTGGTAGACAGCTAGTGGAGAACAGCAGCTAATTGCTCCTACTGACTCACCAGAAGCAACATGTCAGGCCACAGGAAGGGACACAGGTCCCATACTCAGACGTGGCCCGAGGGTCACAGGTTTTATCGGAACAAACCTCTTTTTTTCCCTACCAACTGCCCTTGAAGAGCACCATGAGCTCTTTGCCCAGCAGGTTTGTAGGAAAATGACTAACTACAGGCAGTGACAGCGAGGAAGACTGTGGGCTGACAAAGTTAACAGCAGTCGTGGTGGCTTGTAGTCCCCGAGGCTTCTCCCAGGTTCGGGCCTTCACTGCTGATTCACTTAGGGTCTCCTCCAGCTGCCATTCTCAGAGTGTCTGCCTACAGCTGCTAAGGGGGCCAGGGTGGGGTTCCAGAACGATGGAGGTACCCTATTCCCCCCTAAGCCCACCTACAGAGTGGTTCTTTAAAACACCGAGTTTCACACCAAGGTCTCACCCCCACCTGTTATGGAAACATCGCATCAGACCTGTGATGCTTAAAGTGATCCAGGGTTTTACCAAAAGGAGGCTAGTGAGAATAAATGACAGAGGCCTGCTTTCATTATTATGGGCCAAACAGAGGTCACGGTCACCCAGCCAGCCTTAGGCCATTGCCCAGCATGGTGCAGTGGGACACACAATGGGTGCTTCTGTGAGGGGGCGTTGACCTTAGCCCAGCACTTCAGAGAAGGGCCAACCCTGATGGAGAGTTGTCTGGGCTCACACTGTACATCGAAATTGTGATGCCCCTGGGTGACCACCAGAGGGCGAGGCAGCCCTCCGTGGCACAGCCTGGCAGACGTTCAACCCGGCTGGGGTGCTTCCTTCAGGCCCAGAGGTAGTCTGTGTACAGTCGGACCCAATAATAGCAATGGACAGAGTCCTCGTACAGTGGGCATCACAGGGAAGGGCAAGAAGAGAGCCAGGAACCTGCCGAAGTGGCCTGTTCACTTCTAGGGACTTGTATTCACTTAGATGAGCAGCCTGGAATAGGTTGTTGGGTTTTGAGCAGGCTGTTGCTGGGGGCACTGCTTGTTCTTTAAACGCTCCCCACAGACCGTGCTTTTAAAAAATGCATATCATTACGTGGATAACTCCTTGACCGGGGGATGGCTTTTCTAAAGGCAATATGGAGAAAACAAATATTCGAGATGAACTGTAAGATAATGTTTAAAGGTCAGAGTATAAATAGCTTCCTAAAACACCATCTGTGTACTCATTAACCCTCAGGTGGGGGTGCTGTGCATTGTGCAGACGGAAGACATGGTCGTAAGGACACCTCCCACCCCACAGCCAGGCATAAGCCAGTCAGTCTTGCCTAGTGGAGGGACTGACCACAGCCTCCAGGAAGGTACATGAACAGAGCAGAAGCAGTTCTCTTTCACTCCAGGAGGTGGCTTGGGGCTTTAGGTAGAATAAGGATGTACTTGGAATGATGGCGATTCTTTCGTGCCCAGTAACCTAAGACACAGTGTTCTCATTAGAAAGAGTCTGCCTGACAAGCTGTCTAACAGAGCAGGCGTGTGCCTATTAGATTATAGCAGCCGGTTCCTTCACTACTGGGTGGCTGAGTAGGTATAAAAATAGTTATTAACCAGGCAAACCACTTTGCTCCCTAACTGATGTCACCCCACGTGCGGCTGGCCCAGCAGGGAAGCCAGGTGGGACCGGTGTGTGTTCTGGAACCAGTAACTGCACGCTCCACCGAGGAGCTGACAAGTCATTTATGGGGAAGGTGTTCCGCTGAGCTCTCAGCGTGAGGGGGGAAGCACATAGAGGAAGGGGAGCGGGAACCACCTCGCTGGCCGTGCCTTCCTGTCCAAGGGGGAGGGGGGAGGGTCCCAGGCACACACTGTCCCAGAATACTCTGTGCTTCCGGCACTTCACCCCACAGGCCCTGTGTCCCAGCTCCCCTCCTGTGGTCTCTGTCAAACATCCCGACCCGCCACGTGCAGATGTCTCGTGGGAATGAACACGCACACGTTTGCGATCATGTTGTGAGGAGTTAAATGTGTGAGCTGGACAATGCTGTGGGCAGGGAGTGCTAAAAAGGAGACTCTGTTTCCTGCAGTGGGAACTGACCGTGTCGTCTTAACAGCCTTTTGTACAATATCCACAACCCAGACAACTTCCCCATCCAGTGCTTGCCCTTGGAATTGTCCCTAAATACATCAAGCATACAATAAAAAAAAAGCAAAAAAATAATTGAAACTGATGTCCGGTGGCCGTTTCTACCTTGTGTCTCATGAATAAATGTGGGCATCAGTCACGACATAGAAAATGTGTAAAAGGAGATGTGTTTTTTCTCACTTTAATCTTCAGAAAACCCAACCTTTTCAGCAGTTTCCTCCATTTCTGTACCATTCTGTGGGTAAGTTCACTCTTTAAAAGTAAATACAAAACCACAGGGAGATACCACCTCACACCCATCAGGATGCTGCTGTAAAAAACCAGAACTGACAAGTGTTGAGGGGGGCCTGGAGAAATTGGAACCCTTGTGTTTTACTGTGGGAATGTAAAAACGTGCAGTGCGGGTGGAAATCAGTATGGAGGGCCCTCAAAAAAAAATTACAAAGAGAATTAGCTTATAATCTAGCAATCCCACTTCTGAGTATATACCCTAAAAAATTAAAGGCATGTTTTCAAAGAAATATGTGTATAGCCATGTTCACAGCAGCATTATTCATGAAAGCTAAAACGTGGCAACTACCCAAGAATTCATCGATGTATGGATGAATGAATAAACAGAATGCAGTATATACATAAAATGGAATACTATTCAGCCTTAAAGAGGAAGGAAATTCTGACACATTCTACAACATGGATGCCCTGAGGACATCATGCTAAGTGAAATAAGCCAGTCTCAAAACGGCAAGTATTGTATTATTCCACGTAGGTGAGGGGCAGGGAGGGGGAAATGGGGAATTTCTTAGGGGGTATAAAAAAGTTTTGTGGATCATAAAGGAGTTCTGGAGATTGGCTGCACAATCATGTGAATGCACTCAACACTACTGAATGGTATACTTAAACATGGTTAGGATGGTAAACTTTGTGTTGGGTTTGTGTCACCACCATTAAAGCCGTACTAGCAACAGGCGTCTAGATGCTCCAAATGGCTGCTGGCATCTATGCCAAGCATCTTTATTTTAAAGCCCCGAGTGGGTCCACCAGAGGGAAGGATGCCGCTTAAGAAAAAAGTCAGCCTCTCTCCACTCCTGTGGCCTAGAAATGCCAGGTTGCTCCCACGACCCTGTCTCCATCAGGATGGGCAAATGCAACTTCTTATCTTGTTCATGGAAATGAGTGACCTCTGTCAAGGTCAGAGTAGTCGACTGCCCCATTTATATGACAAGGAACTGCTAACCCTTTAAACTTGACCTCCAGCTCTTTTCCCTGTAATGTACTCCTGCAAAACTCCAAGGAGACAAAGCCCGCATTTGTTTGCTAGGGCTGCTTTAACAAAGTACCGCTAAACAACAGAAATGAACTCTCACCGGGCTGGAGGCTGGAAGCCCAAGGTCCACGTGCGGGCAGGGTGGGTTCCTCCCGAGGGCCGTCTCCTTACGCCAGGGCTCGGCTGGCCGTCTTCAGCACTCCTTGGCCTGGAGAGCCCTCATCTTCCCATGGCGTTGTCCCCTGGAGTGCGGGTCTTGGGGTGAGGGGCAGGCCGATGCCCGGGTCTGCTGTGACGCAGGGGGTTAAGGGTTGCCCGGGTGTTACGTCACTGAGCTGTCACCACTATATGCTCAGGTACATGTTGATGTCTCCATTTCACAGGTGAGGAAACTGAGGCACAGGCTGGTGAAGTAATTCACCACCTCCCCAAGTGCCCCGTGGGTAAACCTCCCCTCCCCTTCCCATGTTTCGGAGTTCACCTGCAAGTACTGGCATGGAGGTTGGGGTGATACTGCTGCTGCAAGTACTGGCATGGAAGTTGGGGTGATACTGCTGCTCCATACAGGTTTTTGGAGGAGTTTGCTACATTGTTGGGGGTGGTGCTAAGCGTACTTTAGGTTGAAAGTTGTTCCTTTTAAACAGAAGTTAGAGGAATTCTCTACATAAACACACACACATACACACACATTTTAAATGTTTTTATTGATTTCAGAGAGAGAGAGAATCATTGATTAGCTGTCTCCTCCATGTCCCACACTGGGGATTGAGCCCACAACCCACGCATGTGCCCTGACCAGGAATCGAACCGTGACCTCCTGGTTCATAGGTCGACGCTCAACCACTGGGCCATGTGGCGGGGCTACCCATATTAATAAACCTGAAAAAAAAAATGCATTTAAGAAAGTTTTTCCCTTGGTTGGTTTTTCCAAATACCCAGTTAGCTTACAAACACCAGGGGAACATCAGACGAAACTGTGACTGTGGTTTAGTCAGAAACGTCAGCTCAGTAAAGGCCTGACTCTAACAGGACATTTCAGCAGCGCCGGAGCCAGCCGAGTACCGGGCTTCATCCTGTCAGAAGCCCTCCTGACCCTGAGCTCAGTGCTGGTGACCACGCTAGGTTTCCACAGGGAGACGGCCAGAAGCATGTCCGTTTGTCAGTTTATTAGGTACAGAGAAATAACCTGCAGAGGCTTTTAATATTTATGTTTATATTTATAAATACAAAATGCATGGGGAACACTGGGGAGCGCAGACGACAGGCCTGTTGTGGGAATCTCCGAGGACGGAGACCGCAGTGATCAGCTGTCTGGGGGCGGCAGGGGGTGCATGGTCAGGGGCTCCACCTCTGTCCTGCGAGTCCAAGGGGCCCGAATGCAGTGATCGGTCTCAGAGGAGCGATGCGATGCCGACTCCCGAGATCTGCCCCACGCCCCCAATTGCGATTTGTGGTTTCTGCTCATTCCTTCTGTCTGCCCTTGAATCGTTTTGTTTTTCATTTCCAGCCCAGCGTTGTGGACCGAGCACGTATAAGCACCTCACGGGGCAGGCGGTGCCCCGTAGGCAGGACTGCCTTTGTCTAGGGTAGCGGTTCTCAACCTGTGGGTCGCGACCCCTTTGGCGGTCAAACGACCCTTTCACAGGGGTCGCCTAAGACCATCCTGCATATCAGATATTTACATTACGATTCATAACAGTAGCAACATTACAGTTATGAAGTAGCAACGAAAATAATTTTATGGTTGGGGTCACAACATGAGGAACTGTATTTAAAGGGCCAGAAGGTTGAGAACCACTGGTCTAGGGCCTTCTTAACCACGATAATTAAATCCTTTGCAATTCTGTCGTACAACTGGGAGGAAGGTGATGTGAATACTGTTATAATAAAGGAAGCCTGACCTTTCAGAAACCTTCCAGAACATCTGAAACCCAGCAGCTATGCCCAGAGCTGTGACCTGGAAAACTTCTTTTCCATTGATTTGTTACAATTTGGCTTGATTTAGTCCCCAGAGAAGGGACCTTGACCTCGCTCCCTGGCTTCTCCCTGCAAGGAGGAAGCACAATGATGGAGGGTAGCATCCTAGGTGACTCCGGACCACCACTAGGTGCGTGCAGTCACGTGTGAGCAGAACCCTCCTATCCCTGCCTTTTTGGATGGCTTGGTCTGGGCATGGTTCCCTCAAGGTGGGAGCCCAGGCGAGGCTGGTTCCAGAGGAAACATTTTTACCGCCTGCCAGCCTCTCCTTCCACAACTTCCTTTCATCTGCAGTTATTTTGATAACAGGCCAGAGATGAGTATGTTTCCTTCTATTTTCTCCCCTTCCTCTGTCACAGCCGGCCTCTCCCAGGACAGGGAGCCCTGGGGGTCAGGCAGCAAGCACACACACACACTTCTGTTCCCTCTCCAGCTCGAGACCATGGGTGTGAGCAGCGGTCGGAGCCCACCCTGGCCTGCTCCTTATCCAGGGGTGGCTGACCGTGGACACGGCTGCCCCCAGAGAGGTGCCCCCCGCCAGATCTCGGGCCAGTTCTGTTCTTCAGCTCAGGGGGAGCTCGGTTTTGCCTGAGGGGTGGCCCTAGGCCTGGGGGTGGGGAACCAGACATTTGAGGCAGATAGTTCCTAATACATTCGGCCCACACTTTTTCTTGCCATAGAAATCCTGCACTTGGGAGAGAAAATACAGACCGCTGAGATAGGATTAGTAATTTACTCTAAAGATGAGTGTGATGCAGGTTTCTAACTTGCAAGGAAAATACCCCAATCTCCTAAAGCTCACCCCACGTCGGCCTGGCTGCCAGGAAGGGGCTTGGAGGGGACAGGAACGACGTCTTGGGGACTTGGGCACGAGGGGCACTGTAAACAGAGCATTGGCTACTCGTAGGGTCATTCATTTACAAAAGGGGCCGAGCCCACGCCTGCCTGGGCTTTGTGTTATATTTACATTAGGCAGGAAAAAAAAAGAATCCCTGTACTGCAAGACGGAAGCGGGACATGGCGTCCCGTCCGCTGGAGGCCGAGTGCGTCGTCTGGGAGAGGGGACACTCGGGTCTCTGAGCTGTGTCACGTATAAGGCATTGTTTGGTTTGATTCTGCAGTTTGCGTGCTGAGAACATAAAATCATGCCAATCAGAAGTCACCGTGGATACTGTGACTGTGGGGCACCTGGCAAACCAAGGAATCTTCTAAACACGGGTCCGTGTGCAGGAAGGGCCAGCCTGCACGGTCTTTACAGTCACGGGACGGACGCTGTGGGGTGGGGCAGGGCTCCATCTGCACCGGCAGGTGAAGGCCAAGATGCATTTTGAAAAAATGGAGAAACGGTGAGGGTGGCTTTTTTACAAAATAAAAGTCGACTATGACACCGATTTAAAGCCTGTGCAAACCACGTATTTACAATAAATAAATGCTCCATGCAGAGCCTGTATGTCAACTGCATTGCAACTGGAGTGCGGTGAGGTCAGACATGGCCTCCTGGGATGTCTGTCCGCAGTGGGGAGCCCCAGGGGCTCGCAGGACGTGGGCTTCCTCCATCTTCTCACCGGAGCGTCTTCAGAGTTAACTGTGGAAACACGACAGCATCACCAGGTGGGGGTAGAAGACTCTGCACACAGGTGACTATCCCTCACCTCCCAGGGCTGGGCACCAAAGCGCACTCTCTGTGCAAGGCTGCCAGGGCCTGATGCCCCCTCATATGCAAGGAGCTGATTTTTACCTAGGGTTGCAGGTGGAAAGGGATGAAATGGGACATGTAGTTCATGACAGGCGGGGCCTAATGCCATCACATAACATGCATAGGCTCAAGCATTTTTCATCTTTTATGTTTCACACAGTCTGACTTTAGCCAGAAATCTATATATATAAAAGCCAAGCGACTGAAACGACCAGAACGACCGGTTGCTATGATACACACTGCAGTGGCCAACCGGCCCGATAGGGGCCTGGATCGGCCCCCGACCCCAATCAGGGAGGGGCAGGGCCAGCTGGCCAACCTCCCACAGCTGATCAGCCCCCATCAGGGCTGGTTGGCCGGACCCCACCCATGCATGAGTTTGTGCACTGGGCCTCTAGTTTCAAATAAAAATGCTCAATAAAAAAAGTTTAAAAATATTATAATATTGATGAGTAAAGAACCCCCCCCCCCCAGGGTAAGAAACCATGTATTCTATGTATGAGAGAGAACATGGAACTATGTTTTATAAATGTTACAGTCTCTCAGGCTGCTCGAGCTGACATAGGAGGGCAGAATGAATGGGGAGTAGACGTGGTGACTGCAGATGAGTCCACAGGGGTTATGTGGTGGCGATTCCAGGGACCAACCCCCCACCCTCACTCTTTAGGTTTTAAAGTTCTGAGTGTCATTCCAGCGGGAAACAAAGGCATACCCCGTGGCTCTCCCTGAGGATAGGGGTGAAGCCGTTAGGAGACGACATACCCTCACCGTCTCCGAGGGACCTGAGGGACGTGTTACCTGAGAGTTTCTGCCTTTGATGTCATCGGAGCTCTGCCCAGCAGCCTCAGTGTGGAGCCAGGGACCAGGTGTACGGCCTGAAAGGCACGGGGACAATCTCACCATCTGCTGGCGCAGGGCCCGGCTGTGCATGGCACAGAGATGTGGGCTAGACTGGTGCTCACAGCGCTGACAGTAGCAGCAAAGGAACCAGAGCAACGTGAGCCGGCCCACCTGAGACCTGCAGCTGCTGGCCCCAGACTGTGTGTTTCCACACTGCTTCTGGGTCCCGGACTGCGCGTCCACGGGCCACATCCAGCATGCTGGGGTGGGGAGACAAGCCACGGAGGCCTGTCGTTTCAGTGTCTAGACAGAGAGCATCTTAGCTCAGACACCCGCCAGCTCCAGCACCCGAACGTGCCACCCACAGCGCTGGCCTTGCTTTGAAAAAGAGCCAAAGGTAAGTACATGTTGTCAGTCACCTTCTGTCCCACCAGGACCCAACTCCTTCTCTGAAATGCATTGTGTTGAAATATTACACAAGTTATATATATTCTCATAATGGAGACTTCAATACAGAAGAACGTAACAGGAGAAAGAAAACCAACCTGAAGTGGCCCTCTCTGCCTACCCCTCCACCCAATCCCCATTTTCATCCCGGAGTCACTGCTGCTCCGAGTTTGGTGTTTATCCCTCCAGATACTTTCCCATTTGGGATTTACTGTGTAGGTATCGGTGTTTAAATGCATATATATGGTCTCACTGGTCTGGCTGAGTTTTATTTATTTTCAAATACTTTTATGACTGAGTTTTAACCCACATTCCCTGACGTTCCTGTGAGGACTTCTCCTGGGTCAGGTGTTCCGAACGGTGGTCCTGAAGTCGATTCTCCTGCTGCATTTGGTACAAGACCCTCTGTCCTGCTTCTGCCACAGACGAGAATTTAAGAACCACCTCCCCAAGTCCTCCAGACACCCCCACTGCTGTGCTCCCCACAAAGCAGCGTGAGCAGCAGGAATAGCCATCGCAAATTATTTATAAGATTGAAAACCTGACGACAACCCACGTTCAAGAAAAGTGTCCGGGAGTCTAAAGTGTCCGGGAATCTTCCTCTGAAGGAGTCCTAGCAGCTGTGTGAATGTTTACAAAGGCTCAGAGAATTTGGGGTGACATTCCAAGAATAGCAGTCATCCGAACACGCCAGCTGCTGTGTGTGCTCCCTGGGAGGAAAAGCAGGCTGGGAATTGTCTAAGGAGAATGACCAGAACTATTTTTAAAATTCATAAAAGTATGTGTAACAGACTGAACTGATTCTTCCTGGACCAGCTGGTTTGCTTTAATCTCCTAAGAACACCTTTTCAGTTTTCTATAAGAACCCAGATGTGGTCTTGGGAACCTGTCGAGGCAGGACACGGTTTTCTAAGAGAACTCTCTCACAGGAGGTCTCTGCAACTGCCACACCCCGAATCCAACGGGCTCTGTAATTCCCATTAAAGTGCTTTTTAAATTAATGAGTGCACTTGTTCTTTTTTTTAAATCTTCACCCAAGGATATTTTTCCATTGATTTTTAGAAAGAGGGGAAGAGAGAAGGAAAAACAGGGAGAAATACCAATGTGAGAGAAACACATCGATTGGTTGCCTCCTGCATGTGCCCTGACCAGGGCCTGGGCCAGGGCAGAGCCTGCAACCAAGGTACATGCCCTTGACCAGAATCAAACAGAGGACCCTTGGGTGCGCAGGCCGACGCTCTATCCACTGAGCCAAACCAGCTAGGACTGTGTTTGTTTTTGAATAAAGATATTTTCAGGTAAATGACATAGAGAGTGCTAGATTTTTAGCCAGTTTATTAACTAAATGAAAAGTAAAAATACACTGATATACAGCCCTAATTCCACGTGGCAGTCTGACCTTGAACTGACTGTTCTTAGGTTTAAAAAACTCTAGTCGACCACAGAAAAGGCTTCCTCTAGGCCAGGGTTTCTTAATGTGGCTCATTTGGGGCTGGTTGATGGTGTGTGGCCTGCCTGTGAGCTGCGGGCTGTTCAGCATTATCCCAGATGCCAGCAGCACATCCTCTATGCCCCAGACCATCTGCAACAACAAAACCTGTCTCCAGACAGCACCAGGGTCCTCTGGGGGTGGGTCCCCCCGCCCCCCCCCCCCAGGAGAACCGCTGGGCAATACTACAGGCCCCTCCATAGCTCAGCCATGCTCCCTGGTTTTCCTAAACACCACTGTTAACAACAGCAGAGCTAAAGGAGAATCGCTTTCCTCACACAACAGAAAGGAACGCTCTGCATCTCTCCTTATGCACTGTCGATGGGAACGGACAATGGAAAACACTATGGTGGGCTCCCCTCACTCCCCACATTAAAAGTAGACTTTCCCAATGATCCAGCAATTCTACTCCTGGGGATGCACACAAAGAATGAAAGCTGGGTCTCAGAGAGAAACGTATACCCATGTTCAGCGGCATTTTAACAAGTGCTGAGAGGTAGAGGCAGGGCAAGTGTCCACTAGTGGATGAACGGATAAAGAGAATGTGGAGTATCCAACCGCAGGATATTATTCAGCCTTAAAAGGGAAGGAAATGCTGGCAAACACTCATCCAGCAGAACCAACGCTGTCTCCCAGACCTCGAAGAACGCTAACCTGGGGAGCCAGGCCAGGGCGTAGCAGGAGGAAACTAAGGAGAAATGTAATGGGACAGGCCTGACCCATCGCAGACTCACACTGATATAATTAACAAGGTTCTACCCTCCGGCTCGCGGGGATGGCAGGGACATGCTAATTTAATTGTGTAGAAGGTGATGTCTGCTAATTACAGATGCCATTTCTGCTCTGCAGGATGTCAGCTCATTTAGTAGGTTTCTCCTCCTCTTGTTCCTTCTAACGGCACCTACCCAAGTATCAGGAGCCCGTGTTTGGGTCTGGGCACTGATTTGTGTTGAGAGGAGCACAGCACAGACTGCCAACTGCACCCTCCTGGCCAGCTGTGTGTGGGCAGAGCTTTTCTTATTCTCAGAGATGAGACTGGGCACCATGGGCTCAATGCACAGAAACCTCACAGGAGCATTTCCTGAGCCTGAAGGTAGAAGGACTCCATAGCACACTGGCAAAGGCTGTGTAACAGAAGGAGACTTTTAAGAACCTGCCTGCTGGAATGGTTTGGGACAGAGATCAGCAGAGTATGGCCAGCAGATCAAATCCAGACAGCACCTGTGTTTGTGAATAAAGTATTATTGGAACACAGCCATGCCCATTCATTTATTTACACACTGTCAATGGTTGCTTTCACGTGGAAATGGCAGAGGCGAGTAGTAGTGGCAGAGACCATATGGCCTGCAGAACCTCAACTATGTCACCTCTGACCCTTCAGAGGAAACGTTTGCTGACCTGTGGCTTCTCCTAGGGGTCGGCCACTGGAACGCCTCCAGGGGCCAGGGGGTCACATTTGTGTGTTGCAGTTGGGGTGTAACAGAACAGCTGCAAACTAGTGGGAAGCTGAACCCTGGAGAAGGGGCCTCACCAAGGTCCTTGTGAAAGAGACTCAGGATGCCTGGCCTTGGGCTAAGCCCGGACTCTGATGATTTCACTGTTTTCCACGCTGGCCCACGGAAGCCTGGGCTGGGGGCCTTCCTCAGCTTGTGGTTGGGGAGCACATCCCACCCTCACCCGTGTTGCTAACTCTGTCCTGTCTTACCAGCTCCTGTCCAATCGGATTGGCTCAGCACCAGACACAAATCGGCTCATGTTTTGACCAAGAAGCAGCATCTGTGTGTGGTCAACACCCCACCTTGCTTTGCTTTGCTTCCTAAAGTCTTGCCTCCCTGGACTTTGGGCCTGAGGGGCAGGACGCCAGCCCCTCCCTCTCGCACTCTTGGGGCTGAACAGCTCAGCCGAGGGAAGGCCTCCCTCGGAGCCTGGCCACACGATGAAGCCAGGAGGCGGCAGCTCTCACTGGGGGAGACCTTCAGCCTTAGCTGGACATCAGAATCGACGAGCAGCTTTCGAAATCGCCAACACCCTGGCCCTACCTAGGAATTCTAACTTTGGCTGGTCTAGTGCAGCCTGGCCTTCAGGGTTTTTAAATTCTCTAGGTCATTCTGTTGTGTAGCCAAGGTTGAGAGCCATTGGCCTGAGGACACGCTCATTTCACTGTCTGCCAGATGGAGGTTCTTAGGGTTCTTCCAGGCTACCAATGCCAAGGTCCTGCATTCCATCTTCCTTGGGGTGTTTAGCTCCCCAGTCAAAAGCCCCAGAGAGGGGAGGGATCAGTGGTGAATTCACCCAAATATGATTAAACGATTAACTCTGGTATTGTGTGAAAGCCTCTAAGTCAGTGGTTCTCAACCTGTGGGTGGCGACCCCTTTGGCGGTCGAACGACCCTTTCACAGGGGTCACCTAAGACCATCCTGCATATCAGATATTTACATTACGATTCATAATAGTAGCAACATTACAGTTATGAAGTAGCAACGAAAATAATTTTATGGTTGGGTCACAACATGAGGAACTGTTGAGAACCCCTGCTCTAAGTGAAGCCTTGGGGACTGGGACTGATAAGTGTTCTGGAACTTCACCGGATGCTGGAGAGTCAGGGAGAACCAGGGGTCCTGGTAACATGAGGGAGGTACTTACTTCGGGGGATCTTGCTGGGGTAAATCTTCTGGCAGGGCTTGTACTCATCCGGAGGAGGAAAGTCTTCCACAGAATGGAACGTGAATTTAGACTCGAAGTCATCTGCACACGCGGGAAACGGCAAGGTTACTCGGTTGTTGTGATGACCCAAGTCGGGAAATTTCCCGGGGCGCACAGGTTGGCCTGCCCAGTGTTAGGGTTTCAATGGCGGGGCTATTCCCCCCAGACCTCCATTCACTTCTCAATTTTTACTGTTTAGCTGGGACAAGGGGAATCGGGAAAAATGAAATCAACAGACTCTCCCCATCACCCACCCCAACTGACGCCTACCAACATCTTAAGGAAGCTTCTAAAGGGAGCCGAAGAGCCACAGGGCTCTCCAGGTTCCAAGGTCAGAGGCGGGGAACGTGGCAGGCACAGGGACAGCACAGTCCCCACGGCCTGAAGCCCCCTGAGCTCCTGGGAGGGGTTGGGTGGGGAGGAGTGGGCTGAACGGGAGTCCCAGCCTGGCTGGTGAGATGGAGCATGGCCTGTGTCCCAAAAGCAAGCGGGCTCTGTCCTGAGCCCTCGAAGGCAAGGGGAGGGGGGTGTGGCCTTGTGGTTGAGTCCCTGCTTTATGATCCAGGCTTTGTGTCTGACAGTAGCTCAAGCCACAAAGGGATCCAAAGATTTTTGGTCACATCCAACCCCATGTGACTTTCCTTCCTATCTCCGTATTTTTGCCCTCATTGTCCGCCTGCCTGCTGGGCCTTCTGTCCATTCATTCACCTCAGCCAAATCACTCTATCCTTTCAGCCCTATGCATGGGTTTCTCCATGGAGACAGACACAGCTTTGATGTTTGTTTTCTTGCCTCTCTTTAAACTCAATCAGAAGGTTCAGAGTGGGTTCTGGAACCCTCCAGAAAGTCTCAAGGGAAACCCTGTATTTAACACAACCTGTGGGCTGTTCCATGCTACAGTGAGCACCCTGTTCTTGCAAAGCATGCACCCTGGAGGGCGGGCTTCCTCCTGGGACAGGGAACCACCCCCTCCCTGCCAGGCCCCGCTTACCAATGATGTGCATGTGCAGGCCTCCGTTCCGCAGCTGACCTCCCGGCTGTGGTGTCGGGGTCCAGCCTGGGGCCTGCTGGCTCCTGCTGGAGAGCTCCGTGGTGGGGGATCGCGCAGGGGGCGCTGGGGGTGGGTTCAGCTTTCCCCCACTGGTACCTGACAGAGAAGATGATGGATGTATTCAGATACTAGAGTGAATGCTGTGAGGGGTGAGGTGTTGAGACCTGCGGATGTAAGATGAAATGGTGAGGAAAAAGGCTGCCTCTGGAGCCAACCTGCTTGGACTGAATCCCAGTTCTCCCACTGGGATAATAACACAACCTCTTTGTGCCTCAGTTTTCTCCTCTGTCCAATGGGAATAATAATAGTGTGCGCGCACACACACACACACACACACACCTGCTAGAGTTGTTGAGTGAAGGAAGTCGCATGCAGTAAGGGTTGAATAAAGGTTACCTGCTGCAATAATCTTAATGACAATGTCCATCCTCATCTTCAGATGGCACAGCCCCAAAAGGGGAACCGCTGCTATAAAAGTATTTCCTGCAGTATTATTCACAATAACCAAAAAGGGAATCAATTTTAACATCTAACACTGAAAATAGGGTACGTACTGATTATCATGTTAATATGCTTATAAATAAGTTTTAAAGATTTGACAAATTGCTTTTAAAGTAATAGATAAAACAGAATAGAAAACAGTATACGCAAAATGGTATTAACTATGCAAATACATAGGTACATTCAGAAAAAAAGAAATAAAACACATCCAAATATGACTGTTTTTATTTCTGGGTGATGTTATTATATGGTAGGTGATTTAAATTTCTTCCTATTTGCTCTATGATGAGCTTGTGTTATTTTTAATGCAAATAAATACATTTAAGAAATTTCATGCATCAAAGAATTTTCTGAAAGATCAAGGAACACGTGTATATGTGTGGGTGTGTGTTGGGTGCATGTGTGGGTGTTTGTAAATATAATGTTGGGGTATTTATGAGTGTGTTTGCATGTGTGCGTGTGGATGTGTGTGAGTGCTTCCCATTCAGACAGCCACCAAGAGTGAACGAAGCCGTTGCGCTACACGGACATCAGTCATGGGGCAGGTGTGTGTGCTCAATCGCAAATCACTGCTGCCGGGGAGCTAAAGGAATTACTTTTAATATTTGGCTGAAATATAGACCCTCCATTTCCTTGAGTCAGCAGGAGAACCTGCCAAAAAAAAGAAAAAAAAAAAAAGGAAGGCAGAACACTGATCCAACCTCCTGAGGGCCGGTGACATGCTGGCTGGGAGCCAGGCTGAAATAACTCAGGAAAAATTGAACAGGAAGCTGGTTCTGAAGCAAACGACCACAGCCCCTCCGCCCCAGGGAGGAGGTCTGGGGACTGGACATGATGGGAAGAATAAATGACTCCCTCTAGATCTCACTGCTGTCGGGCCTGTTCCAACAACTGCCTGAGGGGGCGCTACTGCTATCCCCACTTCACAGGGGAGAAGGAGAAGCACAGAGAGGCTGTGATTGTCCAGGGTCACACAGGTAGGAAAGGCGAGGGGATCTAGGCCAGATTCCCCGGCCTGTGATCTGCATCACCGTGGACAGGTCTCCCAGCGCCCTCAGCCTTGATTTCCTGCCTCTAACATGAACACCCCAGCTAAAGTCCCACAGCCAGGCTCTATTACGCTCCACAGGGGCACTGAAGGGGTCTGTTCTAAACCAAAAGCCCAGCGTAAGGCATCGAAAGGTAGTCCCAAGAGGCTCACAGGAGCAGGTCTCTGGCTGTGGCCCTGGCAGCTCCCCGACTGCCAGCACTGTCTGGTGACCCTCCCGTCTGGCCACCCTGGACCGGGACAGTGGCGCTCACCTGGGCCTCGGCCTGGCCTCTTCTTCTGCAGGAAGGGCTGTCCAGGTGGGGCAGGCGGGGCGGGTAAGGCCGGCACGCTGGGCTTCGGGGGCTGCGCCTGGAAGCTGGGGGACTTGGGGGGCAGTGGGGGTGGGGCCTCGCTGCTGTTGTTAGTGCCTGGCATAGGGGGCGATGGCACCAAGGACCTCGGGGTGCAGGAGGCGTAAAGGGGGAGTGGTGTGGAGGGGGCGCGGGGCGGCGGCGGGGCGGAGGCTCCTCGGGCATCTTGGTGGGGCTAGCAGCATCCGCATGAGCCCTGGGTACCCACAGGGTGAAGGAGAGGGAGCGGGGGTGGGATGGGCGAGAAGTGCAAGGGGCTAGCTGTGCTTCC